CAAAGAATGTGAGACATCCTAGACAGAGATACAGAAATGCCCAAAACTTGGATTCTTTCTGAAGCTGGTTTGCTGGTTTATAGAACATTCCAATGGCACTTGAGAGTAAGAGGCCAAAGATAGGAAAAGCCATGCCATTCAAGACAGCTGCAATACATCCAAGCAGCAAGACAGGAAGTTCAGGCTTATTCAAGGTTGCTAATCGTTTCAATGAAACACTTTTAGGCTTTTCCATATCAATGTCTTTTCTTTCTGGTCTGTCTTCATTGATTTCTTCATCGTGGATATGAACTGAACCTGGAATGGCAAAGTTGATTGTGAATGAATGACGACTACCTGATGAACCCCTACTTATGGATCTCATCATTGGCTTGGTTTCTGTTCCTGTTCCTGTTCTTGTTCCTTCTTGCAAACGGAGTAGCTGGGAATAAGCTCCATCAGGATTTTTGATCAGCTCATCATGTGTTCCTAAATTTCAAATTTTGGTTAGCTCAAACTATGGAAATGGGAATCTGAAATTACTTGAATCTATAGCAAACCTTGTTCAAGGAGTTTCCCTCGATGCACCACTGCTATAGTGTCAGCATTCCTTATAGTTGTCAAGCGATGTGCAACAACCACAGTTGTCCGGTTAGCCATCACTCTTACAAGTGCATCTTGAACAATCCGCTCTGATTCTGAATCTAAAGCACTGGTAGCTTCATCCAGGAGTAGAATCCTCGGATTTTTCAGGATGGCTCTTGAAATGGCTATTCTTTGCTTCTGTCCACCTGATAGCTGGGTACCATGCTCGCCTACCATTGTATCAAGCCCTTTAGGCAGCTTGTCAATGAACTTTGCAGCATTAGCAAGCTCAGTAGCCGCTCTGACCTCTTCTTCTGTGGCATTTTCTTTACCGTACAGTATGTTCTCTTTTATAGTAGCTGTAAAGAGAATAGGTTCTTGGCTAACAAGACCAATTTTTTCTCTAATCCATTTGAGCTTAAACTTCTTCAAATTCACTCCATCTATGAGTACTTCACCAGAATCAGGATCATAGAACCTTTCTAGCAAACTGATAACTGTTGACTTCCCGCTTCCGCTCTGTCCAACAAGTGCAGCCGTGGTTCCACTGGGAACAGACAACGAGAATCCTGAAAAGATCTGCACATCTGGGCGTGCAGGATATCTGAAGTAGACATCTTTAAGTTCAATGTCACCTTGTATGTCTTCCAGTGCTACACCACTGGCATCGTAGGAGTCGATCTTCGGTTTTCGCTCGATCGTCTCGAACATTTTGTAAGCGGCAGCCTGTCCTAAAGCAAATGCATTCAGCACAGGTGATGTCTGGCCCAATGACCTTGTACCATGAAAAAAGTTGGTGAATTTCATAGACCAAAGCATAGGGATCATGTGAAATGAAAATGAAGATTTGAACTTACATTCCACCAGCCAAAATTGCTAATATAACATTGATAACTTGTCCACCATTGTACCCCTTCTGAATGATAAGCTTGGATCCATACCATACAGCAACCCCATAAGTGCCAAAGATGATAAGCAAGATTATGCCGTGTCCTAAACCTGAGGCAAGTCCTTGTCGAACAGTTGACTTGTAGGCTATTTTCAGCTTCTCGTTGTATTTCTCGATAGCTTGTTTCTCCCCAGTGAAGGACGCTACCTTGAATAATCAAAGAAACAACAAACACAGGTCAGGTTAGTCCAAGCTCACCGCTATTAGATATTATTCATTTTGACCCGTTACGTATTGTCGTCAGCTTCACAGTTTTAAAACGCGTCTAATAGGGAGAGGTTTCCATACCCTTCTAATGAATGTTTTATTCTCCTCTCCAACCGACGTGGAATCTCATAATCCACCCCCTTGGGGTCCAGCGTCTCGCTGGCACATCGTTCAGTGTTTGGCTCTTATAACGTTTGTAACAGCCCAAGCCTATTACTAGCACCTTTTTGAACTTTCCCTTTTGGGCTCTCAAGGTTTTAAAATACTTCTACTATGGAAAGAGTCTAGCCCTACTACGATTAGTGTCTCGCACTATCCGGTGACTAGCTCTGATACTATTTGTAACAGCTCAAGCCCACTGCGAGTAGATATTGTCTGCTTTGGCCGGTTATGTATTACCGTCAACCTTACAGTTTTAAAAACGCGTATGTTAGGGAGAGTTTTTCACACCCTTCTAAGAAATATTTCGTTTTCCTCTCCTACCGACGTGGAATCTCACAATAATAGTCTTAACCCAATTCTTACTGTTCTAATGGCTCCAATGGTTTGTTCTACAACGTTCCCAGCTTCAGCATAAGCATTCTGTGCACGGCTTGACATTCTAGACATGATGAGTGAAGCGGCACCAGCAGCAGCTACAATGGCAGGAATGCAGAAGAGCAGAACCACAGCAAGATGCCATCCCCTCACAAAGGCAATCACAAAACCACCGAAGAAAGTTGATATTAACTGTATGAACTTCCCCACCTACATCATCAAACAAACAAATTTGAAACAAGATGCAACAAAAGAGTAAGAATGAGAAAATAAAGAACAAATACCTTCTCTCCCATGGCATCTTGAATAAGAACAGTGTCTCCAGACATTCGACCAACAATTTCTCCAGTTGAAGTTTCAGTGTCGAAGTATGTAATGTCCTGTCTTAGTATTGTTTTCAAATACAATGCTCGAATTCGTGCTGCCTGTCTTTCTCCTGTTACCATCCAACATGCAACCTCTGCAATCGATTATTATGTTTATATGTCAATCAACACATCATTTACTAACAGCTTATAACAGCTTAGGCACAACACCGATTCATATATTAAGCTTCCTCTCAAAATTTTAAAACGCGTCCACCGAAGACAAATTTACACACTTTATAAAAAATGTTTTATACTCGGATGTGATATCACAATATTATATATAATAAGAAGAAAATATTTGTTGACACTTACGTAGGAATGAAGCAATTCCAGTGCCAATGCCCACATACACGTAGTCTATGGAAATCTGGAAGCCAAACAAACAAGTTTTTTTTAAAGTATATATTAATATTTTTATTTATTTATTTATATATATATATATATATATATATGTGTGTGTATATATATATATATATTTAATTTTTTATCTACACCTCTAATTAAAATAAAATAATAATAAAAATAAGCAATTATTTTTTTTTCTTTTTGATTTGCAAAGAAAATTCATAATTTCCATTATTTTTATAAGAATAAATCATCTGTTCATAAATAATGCAAAGAAAAAAAAATTAATTAGAAATTAATATTTTTTGAAAATATAAACTAATTTCATTTATATTTAGAACAAAAGTATTTAAAAAAAAGAAAAAAAAAAAGTGGAAGACGAACCTGGGAAACTCGAGCGACGACGTCAGACTGATCAGCGGAGCCGAAGGAGTTGATCATCTTGTTGAAAATGAGCGTCACGAGCGGCTGAGAGAGGCCATTAGCGACGGCGCTGACGGTGCCGACGATCATCAACACAGTGTCGAAGCGATCGGCGAATGAGAAGAGTTTATAGAAAGGGACGCTGTGATAGTGTCGTCCATTCGGCGGCGAGGCGGAGGAGGCGGCGGCGTCCATGGCGGTTGAGGTGAGTGCAGAAAGAGTGGAGGTTGAGGAGGAACTGAAATTGGGGCAATTTGCAAGTGCTTTAATAGAAGAAGGAATGCTTGGGGAAATTATAGTTTCATGAACCTAAGTTATGATTCCACGTCCGCCTCCTTCTAGAATAATTATATTTAGCAAATTCACAAACATTTTGTTTATTTCCTTTTACATATATATATATATATATATATATTATTTATTTATTCTATATACTCATAATTTATTGATTTTTTTTTTTTGGAAAAAAAATGAAGATGTAAGAATAAAGAATTTGCTTTTTTTCAATTATCTATTTAAATTTCTAAATTATTAATTATATTTGTCTATATTTTGCTAAAAGGAGATTTTCCTAACAAACCATGATTTAAATAGATTTTAAATTTATTTTTAAAAAAAATTATTTCAATAAAGTATTATTTATCTTACATTTGTTTTTGAAAAAAGGATTAAGTAGCAACTTTCTTGTTTCATTATATTTCAAACTGATTTTATTAATTACAAATTTATTTTTTCTTAATATATATTTGATTTCACCATAATCTATCTATTTTTCTTCCAAATATATTTTTAAAAAAGTAATTTTTATTAATGGAGTAAACAAAATATTTTTGGTCACTTAAAATTATTAAAAAAAAATTATAAATAAATATCCCCAAATTATATAAATTCAATTAGCAAAGCCACGTAAATATTTTGTCATATGAAAATATGTGCTCAATCAAATTAAGTGACTTCCGTTCGTAGTATCAAAACACTAGCTCCAGTGTCTCGATGCCACTTAAAAAAGGGCAGACATTTTAGATTTTTTCAGTACACACGCTATTCTTGTTCTTATCGTTCTTTCGAATTTGGGGACGCTATTCATAGGAGAAAAGTTCAAACACTTGTTCTTATCGTTCTTTCGAATTTGGGGACGCTATTCATAGGAGAAAAGTTCAAACACTTGTTCTTATCGTTCTTTCGAATTTGGGGAAGCTATTCATAGGAGAAAAGTTCAAACACTTGGGGAAGCTATTCATAGGAGAAAAGTTCAAACACTTGTTCTTATCGTTCTTTCGAATTTGGGGACGCTATTCATAGGAGAAAAGTTCAAACACTTGTTCTCATCGTTCTTTCGAATTTGGGGACGCTATTCATAGGAGAAAAGTTCAAACACGACTTCTACTTAGAGAGTTTATGGAATGTTGTTGAGAACCAAGAATCAGTTTATGGAATGTTGTTGAGAACCAAGAAAAAGATTCGAGGCTCGAGATCGTGACATATCACAACGGGAAGGAGGAATGAAACGCGTTAGAGTCTTCTTACATCACCTTTTACTTGGTACATGGGATTTGAAGTTCATGGTTTTGATGGTGTATTGAACAAATTGAAAGAACGAACAAGAATTAGTTCCACATTGTGAAGTGGGTTTCGATGAGGATAGTAGAACACCCACTTACCCACTTCATCTTTATTCAAAATCTGAACTGAGTTTGGATCAAAACAGGTAAAATACCAACCTTATACACTTTGATTCTTCTCCAATTTTGTAATGGGGTTTGCTTTTTGATCAAAACGGAAGAATCCCACTTCAACTTTCTTCAAATCTTGAATTGATTTTGATAAAACAGGAAAAAGTGAAGACCCCACTCACCCCCTTGCATTTACTTCAAAATCTGAACTGGGTATTCATCGGATCGCCACCACTTCCCCGCTCAGATTTGTTCAGAACAGTATTAAAACAATACAACATCTTGTAGCAATATATTCCAAGCAGAGCTATTATATGAAGTTTCAGAAATCAACAACAAAGCAGCCGTTTTGATTATATCTATTCCTTTTGGATTCTCATGACATCAAGATATGACTTCCCATTCAGTTCCCTGGTGAAGAATCCTTTGAGGAAATCTGTGACTCCAATTGTTTTAAACAAGGCAGGTCTTTCTGGAGTGACCAAGCTTGGGGCAGGACCTATCTCCCCATCCAATCTTGGGCTGTAAAACATGGCCACTGAGAGCCTCTCCTTCGCTGAGTTCACCGTTGCACGATGCTCGATGCTACGATACGTTCCATTCGTGATAATCTGAAGGTTTGTTCGTATTCAACATCGAAACGAATCAGGTTTTACGGGGTTGATTCAAAATATATAGAGACGAAAATGACAACTTTTACCTCCATAACGTCTCCAATATTGACAACAAAGGCGTTTGGGAGAGGCTTAACAGGAACCCACCTCCCATCCTTTCTTATCTGGAGGCCTTCCATTTCATTGACTTGAAGAAGAATGGTAATGGCAGATGCATCAGAATGGTTATTGAGTCCAATGACAAGTTCAGGTTGAGGACATGGAGGATAGTAGTTCATTCTTGTTGACATCATTCCTTCTTCAAACACCTCTCTCATCTCGCAAATCTCCATTTTCAGTGCCTTCGCCATTAATTCAAGCAGTTTCATGGCTAGATTTTTCATCTCCAGTGCATAAGCATCCAAATCATCTCTAAAAGAACAGACGAAAAGGAAACCCATCATACACAACAAATCAAGCTTGTCTTGCATATCTTAATGTGTGGAAAAATACAGGAAATACTACCTGAATGGAAGAGGGAGGTTGGGGAACAAGTGAGGTTTCCTTAAGTAAGTGGGGAGCATAAAAAGTCCAAAGAGATCTCCCCAATTAAGCTTCTGCTCCTCAGAGACAACAAAGCTCTGTCCAAATCCTTCAACATCTCCTGGTCTTTGCCACAGCTTGCTCTTCTCTTCCATTGGAAGATTAAAGAGTGCTTGAATGCCTGATTTCATACTCTCCACCAATACATCACTCACTCCATGATTTATCAGCTGATGAGAAAGAAAATGAATCAACAGAATGATATTAAGGAAAGCTTTTAAGACAGGTCAAACAGCAAGTACCTGGAAGAAACCCCAATCTTTGCAAGCATGATGGAACTTAGCAAGTTCAGGATCCTCACAATTGTTGGAGGACAGCAACTTGTGCATGTCAATAACAGGGACTTGAGTCGAAGTGTCTGTGAACTCAAAAGGAGGATCTTGGTCGGGGCGAATATATCGATGGGGAACTGTCGACGGCGAGCTTTTGACCAACTCTTGAACGCAAGGCACCGGAAGAGAATCTCTCAGCTGCAGCTTCATTACTTGTGGCTCCATCTCCCAACAAAGCTCCCAGTAGCTCCCTCTAAACACACATATATCTACAACTCTTTAACAAAGCTGAGTTCCCAATGCAACTATTAAGACAAAGCTAGTGTTCAGCTGCCTTTCAATTTGTCAGATAGCTTCTGTCGATCAACAAGCTCCAAATCCAAATAAAATAAACATTGCAACTTCAAGCTGGATTATTTTACAACTCCAATGAGAAATTTGTTTCTTTGTGGGATCCACGAAGCACACAATGGTTGAATTTCAAGTTTTCCAAATATTGAAACTAACCTAGAACATGTAAGTAGAGTTTTTTGGAGATGGATAAGCTCAAATTCTGAATAAAATAATTTTCTTTTACCACAAGTTGGACTTTTTCAATTAATCCAATGAGAAATGTTGTTTCTATGTGGAATCATTGACGCATCCAACCTCACAAAGATTGGAACCAACTATGAGTATATCATCATAGTTGTCTGATAAACTTCCCACCAGTTGGATCTTTTTTTCTTTCTATTAATCCAGAGACATTTAGTTTCTTGGTGGGATCAACCAGGCACAAAATAGTTCTATTTCAGCTTCCCAACAACTGAAACTAATTGAAAATATATCAAGTGCTTAAATTTATCAATAGCAATGTTTTCTTTACATTCATTAGCTGGGATTCATGATGAATCTCCTACACAACGAATGAAGCAAGCTGAAGAGATGCAAAAGATGCTAAGTTGTCGCCAACATTCAGACCATGACAGTAGGAAGAATACAGAGCTATGATGAGAAATCAAGTAGCTAGCATTCAGACCTTAACCATAGAAATAATACAGAATAAAGGTCAGAAAATTAATGGATAAGAATGTGAGATCAACCTGTAACATTTCATTCCTCATTTCACTGTTTCTGATATGGATGTCTAATTTCTTCCACTTGTGCGACGAGCATATACTTTATTTTTGTTTCTTGTCGGTAGATAACTTTTTAACAAGCATGGTCGCCCATATTCTCTATTCTCATCTGCTCAAGGTATGATTTTCCTTCTAGTTTTCGAGCAAAGAAGTCTTTGAAGTACTTTTCCAACATAACTCTTCTAAAAACTGCGGGGTTATGCGGTCCTACGAGGCTGTTAGCTGGACCCAACTCCGAGTTTAGATTTGAGCTGTGGAATGTAGCTACTGAAAGCCTCTCCTTGGAGAAATTCAGTGAAACTCTATGCTCGATGCTCTTGTATACACCATTGCTTACAATCTGCAGCAAAGGCAGAGAGATAGGCCAAACACAGTAAATTGCTAGCAAGTTAATGAAAGGTATCAGAAAAAGATGAATGCACATAGAGACCATGAAGCACCTCCATGATGTCTCCAATGTTGGCTACAAATGCGTTTGGAAGTGGTTTAACAGAAACCCATCTCCCATCCTTTCGAATTTGCAATCCTTCGGCTTCATTGAGCTGATAGAGAATTGTCAGAGCATCAGCATCTGAATGTGCTGAAAATCCGATCGCCTTATCGGGCTCAGGGCATGGAGGATAGTAATTCAACCTCATTGACTGAACACCATCTCTAAAGAGCTCTCTCATTTCCTCAACATCCATCTTCAGAGCTTTGGCCAAATGATCCAAGATGACAATTGCTAACTTCTTAACTTCAGTTGAGTAAGCTTCCAAAGTCTCTCTGCAATAAGGGAATTAGAAATCAAAATCATACCATTCGATTGAGTTTCAAGAATTGGCCAAAAACCTGAGTTTTGGTGGAAGCTTTTGAAATAGACGAGGCTCTCTCAGATCAAGAGGGAGAGTGGTTATGTAGAACATGTCTGACCAATCAAGCTTCTGCTCCTCTGATACCACAAAGAGCTGCCCAAATCCTTCTTGATTCTGTGAGTTTTGCCACAGCAGCTTCTTTTCAGCGTAGGGAAGATTGAAGAAACTTTCAATTTCCATTCTGAATTCCTCCAGCAATGAGGTGGAAACTTCATGGTTTATGATCTGCCAAGAACAATTATCAGAACCAACCACAGGCCAGGAAGCGCCAGACTTCACAATTACAAGAAGAAACTGTCTAAGTAACTCCTAGGCTTCTTTCTACAGAGATTCTTCCTCAAAATGACAGAACCCGTGAAAATAACTCCAACTAATTTATAATCCAATCCAACCCCATTTGGTTGGGTGGCCATTATGAATGGTCGAAGCTTTCTTAAACACCCATATTCAATTATGTTGACTAATAGGTTTCCCATACCGAGGGAAGAGCTCTCCCACCACCATAAAACCTTATTTGAGATCAAAGGCCTTACAGAAGGATGTAACATGAGAGAGAAACAATATTGTAATACTCATTCGTTGCCAATTGTTTCTCTTTGTAACTTTACCTTCCAGTCTTCAGAAATTCTCTAGTGACATCCGACATGACACATGTAACGGCCCAATCTCATTGCTACTAGATATTGTTTACTTTGGCCCATTACGTATCGCCATCAATCTCACGGTCTTAACCACACTCTTATAAGAAATGTTTCATTCCCCTCTCCAACCGACGTGGGACCTCACAATCCACCCCTTGGGGGCCAGCGTCTTCGTTGGCACAGCGCCTGGTGTAGGGCTCTGATATCATTTGTAATAGTCTAAGCCCACCGCCGGTAGATATTATTCGCTTTGGCTAGTTATGTATGGTTGTAGCCTCACAATTTTAAAATGCATCTACTTGGGAGAGGTTTCCACACCCTTATAAGGAATGTTTCGTTCCCATCTTCAACCGATGTGAGACCTCAGACCATGACACTTATAATCCTAATCTTAGGAAGGCTATGCATAACATAAAACTACAATCAGATAATAGCAGACGAAGAGCCATCAAAGAGAGTAGATTTCAACATCTTGATCTAGATCATTGCAGCAAAATGGGGAATCCCATCAAACCAATGACTTACCAATCTTCATTCACGATTCACAGTCACAGTCCCAAAAGATTGTAATCGTGAGATTAGGGCACAATTAGCAGACGGTTTACAATACATCTACATACCTGGAAGAATCCCCATTCCTTACATGCAGAATGCAACTTGTCCAATTCCGAAGCAGCAGCAGAATCTCCGACGGCCAATCGGTGAAGATCAACGACCGGTACCGACGGTCCAGAATCTCTGTCGGAAACCATAGGCGGGTCCTGATCGGCGCGTTCATAGCGAAGGGGGATCTTCGAAAGGGGCTGCTTAGCCAGCTCCAGAACACTGGGCACTATGATGGATGTTCCAAAGTTAACGATTTCAGTATTGGATTCCATGGATTTTTCAAAGCGGTGATTGTGGTGTTGACTTGCTACTTAGTTGCCACGAGAAGAAAACAAGTGCTGTCCTCCATTTCCATGGAAGTTAGTAAACTATACATTTCATAAATTATTTGAGGCGGCGGCAATCCCTAGTTTCACCGTCCGATTTACATCCAACCGTCTTAACTAACTCTGAATAATTAGAACCAACTCTGAATATATAAAAGAGATGATAAATTTAAGAGGAGATATGTATCCATTAAAGAGTTAAAAATAAAAAAATAAAAAAAAAAGAACAAAATAAAAAGTTAAAATTTAATTTGAAAAGTTTCTTATACATTGATTGGGCTTTTTCTCAAGCTTAGAAGCCCACTTTTGAAAGCCCACTTTTGAAAGCCCACTTTTGAAAGCCCACTTTTGAAAGCCCAGTAGGGTTCCATGTCAAGGATTTTCTCTCCCAATTTTAAGTGTTAAAATTCACAACTCTCAACTCCAATTATTTAATACATCATCAAATATCTTGATAACCAAGAAAATGAGACGTTGAATCTGATCGATGGGTCCCAATTGTCGACATAGATGTAGATGAAGAAGACATCGAGATTTAATCTTGAAATTGACATCGTGCATCGTTAGAGGACTTATAAGACATATCGTTGTTGCTTATGGTCGTCCTAAAAGATGGCGAAGAAAAAAATGAAGATAAAAAATGCATTTAATGTAATGATATGTGTGTATCATTCCACACAAAAATAATATGCACGTTTTATTCTCATATTTCTATGTGATTAAATTCTATTTCGTGTATTTTTCAAAGCACATGAGCAAGACTTTTATTATCACCATAATTTATAATTTTATCTCTCATTTTTGTTCTATCTATCATTTTGGTTGGTACTCGTTTCTCTCTCTCTCTCCCATCGACGTGGGATCTCACAATTCACCTCTCTTTGGAGCTAGCATTCACGCTGGCACTCCATTCAGTATCCTTTCCTTCGGTATTCAGTGTTCTCGTTAGTAGATATTATCCTCTTTGAACTTTTTATTTTGAATTTGTTTTCAAAGTTTTAATAAGGAGAGGTTTCGTTATTCTCCCCGATAAAATAGTTGAGATGGTTTGAGTGGGGGCAAATGTGGGGTTTTGATTTGAGGGTGTGTTCCACTTCATCGGTGGGTTTGCCAACAAAACATGTCGGAGAACATCATCACGTTGTCTTCGTTTTTGTGTTGGCAATTAAAATCCCTTTAGTGCAATGAAAAGGACAGTCAAATTGCGAGAGACGCGAGAGGGTTGAGCTTCTCCCATCCGTCTCCACCGCCCACCCATACACACACAAAGGTGTTTGTCAAAATGCCACCCCGCAAACCAATACAGATTGCGATAATAAAGGCTGGGTCAGGGTGAGCCACTGATTCCATCTTCTCTCTTATTCTCATCCTGTCGTAAGCAATGACTTATTAACTCTGTTTTCTCCACGTTTTTGCTATGCGGGGGAGTTGTGGCCATCCCTGCTCAACCAGATGGCAACCTTTGTAATCATATCTTCATCTTAATTAGTCGATGTATGACTCATATAACTTTATGTCAATCTACATTAAACTTTTACAAAAATTAATGGTATACTCATACTCGAACCATCGATTCAAAGGATCGATTCATTTTCTTCCCAACAAAATGATTCTAGTGGTGAGAATAAGTGGATGTTTGTGCATTCAAAATTAAAAAATATGGGAAAATTGAAATCTACGAAGAACCCAATTAGAATTAGATTCGAATCCTAATTCCAAATGTATTCTTGTCCATTAAAGTAAGGAATCAGAATATTAAAAAAAATTCTACGATCATTACCTGAATGCAACCTATTATGGTCCATTTGAATATTGTTTGCATGTTCAATGTATGCCATATTAAAGAATATGTTCACCCTAAATTTCATACCTCCCGTTCACAACTCGACAAAAATAGTAGCATAAATGAGTGTGGAGGTGAAACACGACCACCACGTAATTGTTCAAACTCAGTCAACACAATTCACTGTTAGAGATTGATTAGTACTTTACATACAGCATAATCATCATAGAGAGAATAGTTGAAGAACCCCTGACAAACCCATTACGCATCCATAAAAACGTTGACTTGGTCTCCACATTATGCTTGAGTCAACTAGTCTTGCATAGTACGGGCTCGTAATCATGAACCATAGCCATTAAAATTACACTTAGTTTCCATAGGCATTAAAAAAGATCTTGTAGACCAAAGCTGATCATTCCTTCCCTATTAAGGGACACGTGTGTGAATGTTCCTATTAAATATAGACATTTTGAATAAGACAACTATATATATATATATATATATATATATATATATATATTTGTTGGGAGTAGGCTTAAAGAAAGAGAATAAAAGGGTGTGAAAAAGTAAGAAGATTGGAAAGATGTGTGTGTAAATCTACTTCTTTTTGTTTGAGTGTGTGTATAAATAGATGATAAACTAATGCCATAAAACGCAGCCACAAACAAGAAGACAAGATGATAAGCTTAAAAGAGCTGGTAGAAAGCAGCTCCAAAATCAATATCCCACAAAACTTCATTCGTTTGGATCAGGAGCCTTCTTCTACCTCCCATCCTTCCACGTTCCCCGCCCCACCGACCATCGATATGAGTCGATTACTCTCACCGCAACATTCCCGCTCTGAGCTTCTCAATCTTCACTCCGCTTGCAAGCAATGGGGCTTGTTTCAGGTACCTACTACTATGATCCATGATATGATATGATATGTGTCTGACTAAGTCAAACGTGCGTTGTTGTTGTTGTTTATAACTTTTTTCAGCTAGTGAACCATGGGGTTAGCAGTTCATTGTTGGAAGAGGTGAAGAGTGAGATTGAAGGGTTCTTTGAGCTTCCACTAGATGAGAAGATGAAGTTTTGTATGAAGGCCGGAGAATTTGAGGGCTATGGAACCGTGGTTCGATCCATGGATCAGAAGCTTGATTGGGGCGATAGGTTTTACATGATCACCAATCCTCTTTCGAGAAGAAAACCCCATCTCCTTCCCCACTTCCCTCCATCCTTAAGGTCCCTCCCTAACACGAACCTACCGGGATTATCAAAATATGTCAAAACAAATAAATGAATTTTTCTCAAATTGAAGTGAATAACTACCAAACAATTTTTTATCTTTTATTAAATCAAGCTTATTAATTTTACGTGAAAATACAGAAATACGTTAGAATCGTACTTGAAAGCGACAAAGAAGATAGCGATGAGTTTGTTGAGGATGATGGCGGGGAATTTGGAGATGGAAGTGAGGAAGATGGAGGAGTTGTTCGAGGATGGAATGGAGGCAGTAAGGATGACGTATTATCCGCCATGTCCAAGGCCGGAGTTAGTGGTGGGTTTGAGACCGCACTCGGACGCGACGGGGGTGACGATATTGAACCAGCTGAACGGAGTGGAAGGTCTCCAAGTGAAGAAAGATGGGACATGGTTCCCAGTGAGTTTCATCCCAGACGGGCTGATGGTGAACGTGGGCGACGTTGTTGAGATCATGAGCAATGGGGTTTACAACAGCATTGAGCACAGGGCGGCGGTGAACTCGGAGAAAGGGAGAATGTCTATAGCGGTGTTCTACAATCCCAGATTTGAGGCAGAGATCGGACCACAAACTCAAAGCCCACCATTGTTTAGAAGGATTGTGATGGAGGATTATTTCAAGGACTTCTTCACCCAATCTTTCAGTGGAAAATCCCACTTGGAGCGGATGAAGATCCCACCAACTAATCAACCCAATTAATCCTCATTCATCTTTCTCTAATTATAATTAAAATAAATAAATAAATAAATGTTTCAATTTTAATAAGAGGGGCACCAATTAATTAATATATAAATATTTCATTCAAAATGGATTGAATCAGTCCACTCAACTTTTATTTAACATTAAAATAAAATAGAATAATATCCATATCACATGTTAATAACATTGGTTTATGTATGAGTTTGTCGTCTCACCTTTCTTTCTGCTCATTATATTATATTTTCAAATAATTAATACCAAATATAGTTTCTTATATATTAATAAATTAAACAATTATTTTAAACTACATGAACACATCCGATTCAAAATATATTTTTGATGTCCATAATCATTTGAATCAATTGTTTTTTTGTTTTTTTCAGACTGGGTAATGATATATGCTCAAAATTCAGATTAGGATATGGCATTTAAAAGTTGGATACCTAATGAGTCTGATATTTCTCGAACTAACACGAGTCATTTAGTATATTTTGTCTTTACTCATATATTTCTTTAGAAAAAAAAAAAAGTCGTCCAATATAGAATTGCTCTAAGTCAAACTTGTTTTAACTATCAATTCTTTAAAGAAAAAAAAAATGATCATAGTTTCATATCTTCTTATAAGATTTTTTTATCAAACCAAAACGTTTTTTTGTATTTTTATTTATTTTTTATTTTTTGTAGGACAACGTTAGGAGGTAGCAGGACATGGGAGCTGTTGTCATATACCCAGCAATTTGGGTAATAAAAAACTAGTGTTGACTTAGTTATAACATGACACGTGTATGTATATATATATATATATATATATGTATATAAAAAGAAATTAATAAAATAAGAATAAGTTGGCACGTTTGTTGGGTGTTTGAAAGCAAAGTTTTGATCCACTACGCAACTCCAAGTGATAAAACAAATTATTGGGTACCAAAAAGTCTTGTAATAAAGTTGTGTCATCCTTTTATCTTTTATCTTTTAATTATTTAATAATTATTTTATTTGACTATATCAGTTGCTTTAATATAATGAATGACAAAAACAAAAAAAAGGAGTAGAATTTCACTTCTTATTTTATTCCCATTTCTTTTCTTTATTTATACAACTAATTTATTCCTGTGTAAAACCAATTCAAATCCTTCTCACTTCATTAAGTTTTAAAGCCCTTTCAAACTTTGAATAAAAATAATAGAGAGAAATAAAAGTAATAAAACGACAATACTCCTCCTATTTGAAACTAAACTTTATCTTCAATAGGATAAATGGATCGATTCAAATGAGGTCCAAACATAGATTTAACTTTTTATTCATTCGTCGGATCTTCAAATGAGATCCAAACATAGATTTAACTTTTTATTGATTCGTAGGATCTTCAAATGTGGTCCCCAAATGTAGATTAAAATTTTTATTCATTTGTGGGATCCAAACGGTTCAGTACATTCATTCAAAACTCCAGATTGAAAACCATATCAACTTTTATCTTCTATTTTGCAAATAAAGCTCATCTTCTGAAACATTCTATAATCTAACCATATTCTATATATATATATATATATATATATATATATATATTCAGTAGGGGGGCTGTCCATAAAGGAGGTGGTTTAACATTTCATCATCAGCTCAACCATGTTCAAAGTCTGCAAGTTAAGAAAGATGACATCTATGGCGCCTACATTATCAACTTGAGAGATGTTCTTGAGGCACAGATAGGACCACCTATGGCGCTCCATCCCCAAGCTTTGAGGCACAGATAGGACCACCTGCCAATAGTCTTATAAACTCCCAAGAAAATCTGTAGACATGAAACGTCACAAGTCAAAACCTACGTCCTTCGTTTTTTTTTTCCCTTTTTTTTTTTTTTTTTTTTTTTTTTTTTTTTTTTT